GTGGAAGTACCACCATATTGTTTTGTTCCAATTTATGAACATTTCAGTTATGAGCAACTCAAATTCCTGAGGTGTTTGTGCCTCTAAGGTTGTCCTGTAACATTCTGGCTCTGTGGTAGAAGATCATATATTGATCCAGGTCTTTGGAAGCCCAGCTCAGGGCTACCAAATAGACATCCTTGCATCCTAGCAATTAGGATATAGTCTTGCTATATCATGTAAGAACAGTTCATTGCAAATACACAGTGTTAGATATTTGATTGAAGGTACATCTAGACTGCAGAGCTTTTCCAGAATACCTCTAGTATCCCAGAAAAGCTCCATAGTCTAGACATAGTCTGATTTGTTTCCATTAGTCCTTTGTCATAGAGACTGTCAGGTTTGGCCAATATACCTGACAGAGGGGCATTACTGGCACATAATGGTATAGATCACATTAATGATGTGCAGTTGTATGGGCCTCTGATGTGGTTGCTTAGATCCTGTAATGATGTCGCTTGTGTAGATGTGTGAACAGAGTTGGCACCAGAGTTTGTTGCCGGGGTGGGCGGATCCTGGGTGAGTATGTTTGAAGTGTGATGTGTGGTTGCTGGAAAGAATTTGTTTCAGGTTAGGGGATTGTCTGAAGGTGAAGGTTGGCCTGTCCCCCAAAGCCTGTGTAAGAGAGAGGGAGCATTTTCCAGGATAGATTGTAAATTGTTAACGATGTGCTGCAGGGGTTTAAGCTGGGAGTGGTAGGTGTTGACTAGTACTATTATTACTTTGTTTGTTGGGCCTATCTTAAAGAAGCTGATGCCTGGGTACTCACCTGGCTGTGTCAATCAATGCAGCAGAAGCAGAGTAAGAGTGCTAGGGGGCAAGAGCTGAGGAAACGTTGTTCAAGGTCAGCCATAAAGATGTTGGCATATTGTTGGGCCATATTAATTTAGTTGTATACTTGATCTTTATAAAATTATTATATTAAATATAAGAGTCAATACCTTTTTTAAATATATAAAAATAGATTTCAAATAGTCAATACCAAGAGATCTTAGTAGCAGCCTTTCAAAACTGAACGAATGAAAGAAAAAATGTAGAGCGAATAAAGAGATTATTACTATAACCCCTTTAAAGTGTGGAACAGAAACAACAACATGGAAAATAATATTTAAAGTGTGTTGAAAAGTTCCTTTTAAAAGCCTATAATGCTGCGTGTGATAAGCCCACCACAATATAGAACAATGTTATCTTGAGGTCACTTTTACAGAGACTATATAATAGGTGCAAAATAAAAATAATATAGAAAATTATTATTTTTATCATGGACTCCTAGAAGGCATAACATGGTCACATTAGAAATGTACAGATAGATTAGATTATATTTCTTTCATAATTTAAGATACTTACATTTTCATTTTCCAATAAAACAGCAATTATATTTTTATTAAGTTTCCAGCCCAATTCACTGTAGGTTATGCATGTATTCATTGTCAAGTCTAAACAAATGTGTTTATATTTCCTGTCTCTTCACACACTAGTAATTAAAAAGAAATAGTAGAAATCCTTCCAATTGTGATGGTTCTAGATCATTCGTGGGGGTCAGATGGTTCAGAATTTTAAATCTTATCATTTGGAGTCACATTATCCATGAAAAGCAAGGCTATCTACAGTTTAATCTGTTTAAATGACATACTTGTGTTTATATATGATGATGGAGAAACAGAAAGGTGTTTCTAAAATAAAATCATCACAGTTTCAGAGACAGACACAAAAGAATAGGACATAAAACTGGATGAATTTGGACTATTGACCTGACCCTGGTTGTGTATTTAAGGGTTGCAGGATTAAATCTCTAAATTTAGTCCCCTAATCTGCTAAAATATTAGTGGTGTAGCATTAATGCAAGGCCTACTGACTTTAGTATTTAAATTTAAGATACTATAAAGCTCTTGAATGGCTTGAAAGCTTAGGTCTGGGGAAAAAAAAGGAATCATGTGGGACTGGGTGAATAATATAGGGTCCAATCCTGTACAATGGTAAATACTTCAAAATAGACTCAACACTTTGCCAGATTGAGTCCATGTTATCTACAAAGAAGCTTGCAGTATTATTAAAATGTTCTGTATGCAGACATAATATGAGAGCTTTCATGCCTCTCACTTTACTCCATGACCAGACATATGACTGTCCAAAATTTGCCCATATGAGGGTCATATTAGCAACTTTGCAGAAGAGATCTGCATAAAATAGAACCTGTTGTATTTGACTTCATCTTCAATACATAGCTACTTCTAATATGAATTGTTCCAGTCAGACTTTCACTGATATAAGGTAGACATACTCAAAGTTCAGTGTTTGGGGATCTGTTGGTCTGCTCCATGCCTAGCTGTCCAATCTTTGCTAATTTGTAGTCATTGACAAAAATATTTCTTAACAGAGTTAAGGTTGCCCAGTGGTATCTTGTGCTCTTCCAGAATGCTTACTTAAGCAAAACTCAAACCTTTGAAAATGAGGATATAAAGAGTTCGGGCACACGGCTCCATTAGCCCTATCACTCCTCTGCATCATCTCTTTGCCTCTCCAGCATAGCCTTGTTCTCTCTCCCAACAGTCCCATGGAGAAGCAAACCTCATTTTGGGTCCCAGGTGTTCAGGAACTGGTAAGAAGATGCAGAACTACAGTAGCTTGGAGTTTAGTGAAGGCATTTTTGAACAGTGTGAGGGCAGATATGGGGAGGAGGGCATGAAAGGAAGGATGATCCAGTGGTTAGGACCTGGGACTTGGGAGACCTGAGTTCAATATCCTGTTACATGATAGATGTCTTGTGTGATCCTTTTCTATCTAACTCATAGAGAGTTGTGAGGGTAAAAACATGAAAAATTATGAGGTGCTCAGACACTACATTGAGAGGAGCTATATAAGCACCTATTGAGAGAGTGATGGTTGTAGGGGTTTTGTGGGGGGCAGAGCTGAAAGCTCTCCCTGTCTCACCCGCTGCACATTTCTGACACCCTTCTTTCCACATCATTATTCCCTGAACTGTTCCAACACTCCACATCACTGCTATCCCCATACTCCCAGCCAAAAAGGCCAGTACTGTCCTCAGATCCTGATTCCTGGCTCACGTATGGGGGGACATGGAGAGGAACTCAGATTTCTCCCAGAGAAGCACCCCCCTTCCCACATCACACATGGAATGCAAGGAGAGGGGCTCAGACCCCGCACCCCAGCTCCTAGTTTCCACTTGGTGTACAGGGAGGGGGCTTAGGCAGCAGCACATCCTACACACTTACAGGAAGGAGGAGATGCCACAGGGCTCATAGATCCTCTCCCTCCTCTTGCCAACTAGCCCTAAATCCCCCTTCCAAATGTCCCCTCACCCTTCCACATCCCATCACTACCCCTAACCTGAGCTTCCCAAATAGGGTTGCCAATTTTGTAATATTTAAAAACCAGCATTCCAATAGGACTGCAAGAACTTTCCCTTCCTCCTGAGGTCCTGCCCCTGTCCTGCATCTTCTACTTAGGCCTCACTCCTGTCCTTCCTCTTTCCAGAGGTCTGCCTCCTCACCAGAGGTGAAAGTAAGTTAGCTGGGACACTCAGTTGAAGGAGGAGGTGTGGTGTGCTCTTGGGGCTTTCAATATTTAAAAACCAGCATTCCAATAGGACTGCAAGAACTTTCCCTTCCTCCTGAGGTCCTGCCCCTGTCCTGCATCTTCTACTTAGGCCTCACTCCTGTCCTTCCTCTTTCCAGAGGTCTGCCTCCTCACCAGAGGTGAAAGTAAGTTAGCTGGGACACTCAGTTGAAGGAGGAGGTGTGGTGTGCTCTTGGGGCTTTCTGGTAAGCAGGCAGGCAAGCAAGCAGACTGCCCCAGCCACAACCCCCCCCCTCCACCAGAGCCCCATTTAGGAAAGGGGGGACTGAAGCCTGCCCACCCACTGATTTTGCCCCCTCAACCATTCCTAATCCCCCACTGCTCTCCCAGTTCCACAGTCCCCCCCCCCCCCCTCCATGTTGTGCACCAAAATAATTTATCAGAGTCAAGTCAGGGGGCTTGACCTTAGTCCCAACTCACTTCCTTGTTCCAGAAGGAAGGATTACATTATCCTTATTTTCTGTAATCTCTTCCGGACTAGTACAGGCATGTCAGTGGGAAGGTAAGAGACATATACACCCCTCATCCAGTGCAGCTCACCCTATTGCAATTCCCTTCCTCTTATGTGATTCCTGACTGCAAATGGTTTGCTCTGCAGGGTGTTTGGTACAGGAGCACTGTGGCTATGTCTACACTACAAAGTTTTTTTCAGAAAAAACAGCTGTTTTCCCAAAAAAACTCATGGAGTGTTAACACCTCAAGTGCGTTTTTGTGCAAAAAAAAAAAAAAAAAAAAAAAAGAAAAAGGGGGGGGGGGGGGGGAGGAGGAGAGAAAGAAAAAAGGGAGAGGAAGAAGAAAAAGAGACAGTTCAACTAGTTACAAGAGGCTATTAAGAACCATCAGCACCTCCATTGGTTGGTGGCTGTTCAAGTCATTGAAAGGTGGAAGATAGAGGCTGGCTCGCACGCGCTCTCAGCTCAGATCATGATGCTGCTGTGGGCTGGCCCTTTGCTCCCATAGCCCCCAGAGGGCAAGGTCCCAGCGTGCCCACCGGTCTCGCGCTCCTATGTGCACACGCACCAGGTGCAACATATTCTCCCGGCCCGGCTCTAGCTGCTCGGCACCTGCTGCGCTCGACAGCCGGACTCTCCTTGCCAAGTCCCCCAACGGGGCGGCGGCTGCCACGCCCGGGCTGAGCGGCGGGCCGGGGCCGGGGCCGGGGCCGCTTTTGTAAGCAGGGCGGGGCCGGTTCGGAGATCCCTGGCTGGAATGACCCAGGCCTGACCCTGCCCCCCCTCCCTCTCCCCGCGTTCCCAAGGCTACCGCCGCGTGGCGGAAGGGCACTGACAGCGCGTCTCCCTCCCAGCGGCTCCAGCGCAGCCGACGGGAGAAGTCCTCCAGCAGCCTAGAGAGGCTGGCCGCAGGGGTGTTCTAGCCCAGCCGCACTCTATGGTGCGCGGGCACGTCCGGTTTCTGCGCCGCCTGCCTGGAGGATGAGCGTCGCCGGGGAGCGGCCACGTGACTCCCCGGGGCTGGAGCGCGAGTTCGGCCCCTCGGCCCTGGGGACCCAGGAGCAGTGAGTCCCGGGCGGGGCGCGGTGCCGGGCCCTGCCCAGCGGCTGCAACGACACAGGCCGCCTCCCCTGGCAGAGCCGCAAGGGCGTTTCCACTCCCGGGGAGGCTGCAGGCCGGGCCGCACCCGACGCTCGTTGGGGCCTTGGGTCCTGGTTCTGCCGCTGCTGCGCCCTGGCGGTGTCTGCGGTGCGGCGGGGAGGGCTCATCCCCAGCCCGGCCGGGCAGGCTGGCCAGTTGCGCCAGGGCACTAAAAATGTGAGGTGGCTTTGGTGGGGGTGCTGGAACCTTTTCTATAGCTGGGGGTGCCCAGATCCATTGAACCAAACTATAAACCCAGCATAAAGTGCCTTTTTTGTTTGTTCGGGTTTTTTTTAAAAAAAGTGCTGTTACTCCAGGGGAAAAGTTGTTGAGCTCTGACTGGAGTTGCCAGTACTGTGTACCAGGCAGTACTGTCACAAAAAAAGCAATGCCTGTATATAAATATAATGGAGCCCATGTCAAGCCAGGGGGGTGCTGCATCCCAATTTCCAGCACCTGTGGTGATAGCTGGGTATGTCGGGGTCAGGAAGGGTTGTACTCTAGACAGATATTTTTGGTCCTGCTGTTGGTCAGGTGCTGGAACTATGATTCTGGGGGCTGCTGCTGCAACCCTAGGTTGAAGCGGTTTCCATTAAATATGGGGTTTGCAATGTGGTTCAGTGGCTTTCAGTACTACCACTAAAAAATTATCACTAGATCACACTGCCATTTATATAGCATTCAGGTTCCATCAGTAGTATGCCTACCTGAGATGGGGAATCACGCCTCCTTACTCATAGCTACAGGCTTGTCTACATAAAAATTTGACCACAATAGCTTTTCTACATTAGCTCCCCCTGTGGAAATTCTATTCCAGAATAATTAAAACTAGAGCCAATCAACAATTTTAAGCATAATTTTCGTTCTCAGTGACCCAGAATTAGTAAAGTTTGACTACATTTATTTCAGAAGCATTTTGGCTGTAGAGCAGTGTAATAAGTGTGCTTTCAAAGCAGAATAGTTCATTCATCAATAGTTATTCTGGGCAATTTCCCAATGGAGCCAAGTTGTAAAGTAAAATTGTCATTTTTTTGTAATTTCTTATTAATTAATGACATTTTCCCCAGGCACTAGAAGATCTCAGCAAAGTTAGTTGCATCTCTCTCATTGTTTCAGTTGTTTTTCCTTTTTTAATTTTGCTTATGGCATTTAGAAGAAAAGTATGTGACTTTATGTATGGAACAATGTGTTGTAGTCCTCATATTTTCTCTTGAACCTAAAGAATGAATCCTTAGTCTTAGTAAATTGTAAAGTTTTCTAATTATTCTTCATCCCCTGCTACAGAAAAAAAGTTGTTTAAAAGAAGGTTTTTAGACTCTTTGGGGGAGAGGAGGGAATGTTGTTATGGTAACTGTCTGCTACAAAAAAATGAAACCTCTGAAGTTGGTGGTTCTGAAAACTTTGTATAGTCCTTCAACTCCAAAGCAGTTCCATTTTAAAATACACAATTTAAACATGAGCTAAAATGTTTCCAAGTTTTAAGATAAATCTTGAGCAATCAGAAAAACCAAATGCAGTTCATATCTATCAGCCTGCACCTTCTCAGTTCACACACACTCATTATCCAGCATTATCTGTACTGTGGACAAAATGTTCCACATCAGTTTGTATAATATACAAATAAATCTTTGATTGAGTAATACCATGGAGAATGTAATGAGTTCTAATATGGATCATAAAGTTGTTGAATATGCCATTCATTTGTGTCAGGTTTTGTAAGGATCACATTGGCAGTGATGTCTTTTATTTTGCTTGATTCTCTCAGTTAGAAAAGTGCTTCACATCTTTGAGTGCTGTAAGACTTCAGAAAAGGAACATTACAGCATATGAGTATGACAAATACCATTATAACTTATTGATCTATCTTGGCATTAAAATGCTTACTGGAACATGTGCTGTCCTTGCAAGTTTGAGACTTTGAATATACTTTGGCTACTTTACACTGTTTCATGCATTGGGCTCCAAAAACTGGAGTATCTCCCCTGGGTTCGTCTTGGCAAATAATCACCATAGCCATTTTCAGGCCATCTCCTAAATCTTAGTTGTTGGCATAGGAATTATGATATGGGGGAAAGAGGAATTCCTGAGAGCCTCAGTCACATCTATCTCCTGTAACAATCCATTGTGGCTGTTGGCAGCCAGTGCAGGTTATGAGTCTGGCCTACTGTGGAGGATTAACTCAATGTGCAGACAAGTCCCAGGATCAAGGGAATGCAAAAACATACTGTTGTTCTCTCCCCTCATGCCCTTCATCGGTTGTTGCTGTACACTCCTTCAACTGCAGCTGGAGAGCTGACCCTTTGTTTTGATGCATGTATCTAATTTGGGAAGTTCAACAGTTTATGGGTCAGACACGGGACATGTGATAGGTGACTACAATCTCCACCTGTCCCCTTTCTTCCTGATCATTCATCTACATTGTTCCTGTGTTAATTCATATTCTGCCTTCTCTTCCTGTTTAGTTGGGATGCTGCATATGAAAGAGAATTACAGATCTTTCAGGAGAATGGAGATGCTGGGGAGATTTGGTAAATAAAGAGTGCTTCTCAATGGACAACATGCGTATATTTTTATTTGTTTGAAAATATATGTAGTAAAAGCAAAAGAAAAAATCATTGGGTCACTGAGTAGTTCAAAATATTGGTGATATGACATGGAGTTTTTCATCTGGGAGTCACCAATTCACCAAGTCGTCCCAAATCTGTAGTGACTGAAAATTGTTAGTTACCCACCGAAAATTAGTTGCTGATGTGTGTGCAAAAGTTGGTGGTTGCAATCTGTTTTATTAGTGGACACATCACCAAGGGCATTCATTATTATCAGAGGCTAAGAATTAAATAGGCAGCCTGGGGATGTTTCTAGTACAGTCTTATTTTATTCAGTCATAAAAAGGGTGTTAGTTTCCAGTACTGCTAATCCCAGCAGGTTTTAAGCCATTTGGTTTACTTAAAACTTTAACAACTTAAACTTGGAATATGATCTATATAGGTTGTTGCTAGAAGCTCTAGTGACAGGTGCATTATGAATGCCAGATAGGGAGAGAGATGAAGTACAGTGCTGCTGTGCCTTTCATGTGTCCTGGATATCTTGATTACTTAAGCCTCTGTTTTGGATAGGTTTGGAGAAGAGAGCATGACTCGTTTAATCAGATGGATGGAAAAACAAAAGATCCCTTTGGACAGCTCTGTGCTTGACATTGGAACTGGAAATGGTGTTTTACTTGTTGAATTGGTTGGTATTTTGTAAAATTACAGAATCAAGGCTAATAGAGCACATAAATTTGCTGCAAGTGAGAGAACAAAACTTAAAACTGTCAGAGTATTTTCCTATCAACAGCACATAGGTTGTTGTAATGTGCAAACAGTGTTTTTCCTTAGCTGTACAAATGTATATTTACTTGTTTAGAGAACATCAGCAGTGTCATAAAGTAGGGATGTTAGCATATAATTGAGTAAATGATTAACCGATAAGCCTAGGCTTATTGGATAATCTGTTGACTATACACACTCACCCTGCCCCCTCTCCGATAAGCCTAGGCTTATTGGATAATCTATTGACTATACACACTCACCCTACCCCCTCTTTTACTGCTTCTGTATCAGAGGCAGCAAGGTGAGGGAGTGGGAGCTAGTGCCCATGAGGAGCTGGTTTTAAGCAGACTCCCCACGGGCACCAGATCCACCTGCCTCTCCCCCACCCCTGTGCTGCTGCCTCTGATACAGAGGCAGCACTGTGGAGGGTTCTGCTCCCCCCCCTCCCCCCTGCACTGCAGAGGCAGCAAGGGAGGGCAGGCAGGAACCAGTGCTGGGGTGAGCCAGCCTAAAAGGCAGGGAAGGCTGCCGCAAAGCAGCTCCTGTCCACAGGGATTCCAAGCCCCTCATGGACAGAGACTGCTCCACATTCCATAGAGCAGCCTGTGTCAGTGGTGAGCTTAGGCCCACCACAGCCAGAGGTTGCTTTACAGCGGCAACCTCTATCTGTGGGAACTCAGACCCACCATAGACAGGGGCTGCTGCCACCCTGCGCTGCTGCCTCTGGTTTTAAACTGGCTCCCCTTGTGGGTCAGCTCCCACCTGCCACCCCCCACTGCTGCCTCTTATAGAGAGGCAGCTGTGTGGGTGGCAGGGGGCTCCCTGGAGTGGAACTGGATTGCACTGGCTGCTGGCTCTACCCCCAGGGACTTTAGCATTATTTGTGAAGATGATAGTTAAAATATTTTCAGACAGAAGTGGGTTTATTAAGTTGATGGTATCCCGTTAAAAATGTGATGATTTTTCTCTTGAGGTGGAAGCCCAGTGCCAAGTATGTTTTAAGGGCTGATACTGTTATTTCACAGGGGCGCAAGGAGTCATGAAGTTGAGCAATCTTCAGTAAGTTTAGTTATGAGTAACTTTGTGTTCCTTTTCACACTTTTGATTAAATGCTTTGGTAGAATGTCTCAGCTGAGTTAGATTGAGGCAGTATGTGGCATTCATTGTGGGAATGTAAAATCCCATTTAAAAAGTTAACTCTGAGTTTAACTGGTTAACCTGCAGCGGGCGAGCCCACCATGCTGCATCCTGCTGTGCATGCTCCAGCCTGGCCAGACCCACCCATTAACTGCTTACCCAATAAGCATCCTCCAGTAAAGATGATGCTTACCCAGCAACCAGTTAATCCTTTACATCCCTAATTCACTGAATCAGCACTTCTCCATTGGCTTTGGTACAGCAGAATTTGTTAGTTTGGGGCTTCTTTTTAAATAGTCTCCGTGAATATGAATCAAAGCTGTCTTGTTTTCCTGAATCTGCAGATACTTTTCAGTGACACTGTTTCTGTATTATCTGCCCCAATTATCTCATTAGAAATGTTAATTTGAAACCTAATCATTCTAAATTCACTGTTAACACTTTCACTACAGAAAAAAATATTGTTTTGGATCATACCTGACTTTTCTACCATCCTTGAATCAGGGCCCTGATGTAACTTGTAAACGTAATGAATTTTTATTCCTTATCAGGAAAGATAATGATGACTGGGGAAATCCACTTATACAAGCTATTAGCATAACATCCCCCCCTCCCCCCGCAAAAAAAAATCTGTCTCAAGATATAAAGTGTCTTAAATTGTGATTTGACAAGGAAATTTATTTTTCAGTGAAGTATTATTCTGAAAATTGACTGTGATGTTGATTGTTGTGTGTCAGCTCAAGATGAGTTTGCTCAACTTATAAGCAAAAGCCTACGACTGGCACTCTGCAAACTCAGCCCAGGAGCTAGAAGTAATGCTGGGATTTTTCTGGTCCATGCATCATCCACAGCTATAAAATTCTACACTTGGAAGTTTGGATCTGGTAGTGCCATAGAAACTGCAGGGCTGAAAGAGCCAAAATAAAGTTAATTAAACTAAATAGGATGTCTGTGGAAGGTGGCTGTAGAGAGTGTGGGGTGGGCAGTCATATAATCAGACTTGGAAGAGACCTCAGGAGGTCATAAAGTCCAGCCTCCTGCCCAAGGCAGGACCAATCCCAACTAAATCAACCCAGCCAGGGCTTTGTCAAGCCGAGACTTAAAAACCGCTAGGGATGGAGATTCTACCACCTCCCTAGGTAACCCATTCCAGTACTTCACCACCCTCCTAGTGAAATAGTTTTTCCTAATATCCAACCTAGACCTCCTCCACTGTAACTTGAGCCCATTGCTCCTTGTTCTGCCATCCATCACTGCTGTGAACAGCCTTTCTCCATTCTCTTCGGAACCTCCCTTCAGGAAGTTGAAGGCTGCTATCAAATCCCCCCTCGCTCTTCTCTTCTGCAGACTAAACAGACCCAGATCCCTCAGTCTCTCTTCATAGGTCATACGCTCCAGCCTCCTAATCAGTTTGGTTTCCCTCCTCTGGACCCTCTCCAATGCATCCACATCCTTTCTATATTGGGGGGCCCAGAACTGGACACACTATTCCAGATGTGACCTCACCAGAGCAAAATAAAGAGGAATAATCACTTCTCTGGATCTGCTGGCAATGCTCTTCCTAATGCACCCTAATATGCCATTAGCCTTCTTGGCTACAAGGGCACACTGTTGATTCATAGCCAGCTTCTCATCCACTGTAATCCCCAGGTCCTTTTCTGCAGAACTGCTACTTAATCATTCAGTCCCCAGCCTGTAACAATTCTTCCATCCCAAGTGCAGGACTCTACACTTGTCCTTGTTGAACCTCATCATATTTATTTTGGCCTAATCCTCTGATCTATCCAGGTCACTCTGGACCCTCCCCCTGCCCTCCAGTGTATCTACCTCTCCCTCTAGCTTAGTGTCATCTGCAAGCTTGCTGAGGGTGCAATCCATCCCCTCATCCAGGTCATTAATAAATTTGTTGAACCAAACTGGTCTAAGAACAGATCCTTGGGACACTCCGCTAGAAACCAACCGCTAACCTGACATCGAGCTGTTGATCACTACACATTGGGCCCGACAGTCTAGCCAGCTTTCTATCCATCTTACAGGTCTGGACGGCAGATGGATGACTCTCTCCCTCTTAGGAGGGAGTCCCTGACGACCACCACCAGTTGTCTTTTTGGGGGGAAGAAGGAGTCGTGGAACACCCATCCCTAGGACTATTCATCCCATGCCTCCTGGTAGATGGTATTCCCTTCTGATTTCTTCCCTGAGAGGTCCCTGCCAAAGCATTCTCCACCGCAGTGCCTGTGGAGAGAGCCTGATAGCGGTGACTTACCTCTACAGGAATGGGGGATACCTGAGTTGGCCGCCCTCTCCTTCTAGAGGTTACATGCTGCCAGGTTTTTTTTCCTTGTCCTGTACTGCCCTGACTGGCTCTTCAGCCTGGTGTGCCTGCAGGATTAAACGCTGCCTTCTATTGAGGAAGTCTTCATCCTCTCTGATAGAACGTAGGGTCGATACTTGGGGCTCAAGTCCTCTTAATTTTTTTTTCTTCCAAAATGGTGACTAGCTTACACTTAGTGCAGATGAAATCCCTTCTTTCTTCTGGGAGAAAGACAAACATGGCACATGCTGTGCAGGTGACAACATCAGACCTATCACCATCCATACCTGCCTTCCTTCTGTAATCCCATAAAGTTTGTTTACAGCCACCAGTCCTGGCTCTCAGGATTCTGTGCTGTTATTTAGCTCTAATTTACCCCTAAATGTCTTCAAAGAGCCTAGTAACCAATGGAAGTATTTAATTCTGTTAGGCAATATTTCACTGTTCAGCAAATTCTCTGGTTTGGGACTGGTCAGATCCCCAGGATGCAGAACTAGAGAAGGTCACCCTGAAGTATCACCTTTCCTGATGTTTAGCTAAAATTTAAAGCCTGGATCAAAAGCATCTGGTTAAAGCAGAACTCACAGAGTGTATGCTGCTTAGAAGAAAATACTTCAAAAAGTGTGCCTTTGTAGTACTCCCTGCTATGTAGGGCATCAGCCTTGGATCCCTTTGGACTTCTTAATGCCATTGGATTCCCAAATGGCCATCTTGTCGTAAAAACACCTACTTATAGCTGCAGTTAGTCAGAAGACCATACCTTCCATGGTGGATTCAGACCTGGCCACTTGTGACATTGAAATTTCGTTTTTGGAATGAAACCACACACTCTCTGGCAAAACTCCATCAGGGATAAGATGTAGTAGCTCATCTGCTTAGCAAAAGGTTTGCCCTCAATACAATTACCTCTGTACTCTGCTCTCAGCACTAATTTACTGAGTACAGAGTCTAACTCAGTGTCTAATAATTCCACCTATTTGAAGGAACTAGCTTTTAGTTAACAATTCTGGTGGTGATGTACAAAACAAAATAGACTGACAGCTCGTGCCCCAATAGCTTTTTTGGTTCTATAGAGGTATCAGGAATAAAAAATGAGTAAAATTTTTTTTGTTTTTGTTTTTTGGTCATTCACATGAATAGAATTGACTTAGAATATACACAGAGGGCAGACCTGCTGAGTAAGGATAGTTTGCTAGCACATGAAGTAAGAATCTCTCTTTTTCTCTAGGCAAAATGTGGTTACACTAATCTCACTGGAATTGATTACTCTCCTTCTGCAATACAACTTTCTCAAAATATAATAGAGAGAGAAGGGCTGTCTAATATTAAATTACAGGTAAGTGTTCAGAGGGCTTATGTTAAGGGAAATAAAGCAATTGAACCTCAGAGATTGAGTCACTTGATTTCAGACGTGTTAATATACTGTCTACATTTTTTTTGAAATCTAACTTGATCACTTGAAGGGACTCTAAGCAACAGCTTGTAAATACATCTGCATTTATAGGAAGATCTCTTGGTTGATAAGGATTTTACTCCCTTTGACTCATATGCATAACTCCTATTTAGGTTAAGAACAAGAATGTCATCCTTCAGCAAGGGGAGAGACTAGATCACACTTTACAAGATCAGTTCTGTGTTCTAGTCTATATACAGTACTCTGATTTTTAGGTAAGAAATAGCAACTAAATATGCCAAACTACCAAAAAAAATCAACAATGGTTAAGCAGCTAGTGTGCAGAGAACACTGCTTTTCATGCTGACTGGGTTTCTCATTGTTACCTCCTGCTCTCCTTGTCTGGATATTCTCTTTTCTTATATTTAGAATAGATCATAAGCTCCTTGGAGCATGTCACTTTTGTTTATATGTCGCCTAGCACTCTGGGACCCAGGTCCATGACTGGGCCTTCTCAGTGCTGTCACACTGCAAATGGTATATAATATTAATAACAAATACATTAAAGATTTTGACATACTTAAATACTACTGTAATGGTGGCCAGCTAAGCACTTCAGATAGGTGGGCATGTAGCTGGACTCAACTAAAGATTTTTTGAATAAGGCAAAGGGAGAAACAAATTGACATGGCATAAAAATTACACAAAGCAGTTGCATGGTAACCACTTCTCAAGTAGACCTACTGTAAGGATCACATGCAGGGATGGACTTGATCCTATCAGTAAGGTACTCATACAATCTTGTGCAGAACTTGTAACGGAATTAGTATAGCTTCCCCCCTATTGGTCACTGCCCACCAAAGGATGCCCATGCTGGCTATATAAGACCTCCATGAGTGCCAGTCGGTGTATGTTCAGTGCAATGGCTTTCCTGGCTCCTTTCCCTCTAGGTGCTGTGTTGTGTGCTTGGAATAAAGCCTGAAACTGATTCAGCTGATCTTGAGTCTGTTGTGTTACCTTGTTCCATGACACTTAGATGTTGTCAATTTTTGTGCCCTCACAAATGAAAGCACTAGTCTTTAGAGATGCAGCACTTCCCAACTGAAATGGTTTACATAAATGTAAACTTCTGATTTAGGTAAAAGACTTTCTGACTCCGTCATCTGAGCTATCAGGATTTCAGATTTGTATCGACAAAGGAACCTTTGATGCCGTAAGCCTTAATCCTGACAGTGCAGCTGAGAAGAGAAAGCAGTATGTGAAATCCCTCTGCACAGTGTTGAAAAGGGAAGGCTTTTTCCTCATAACCTCTTGCAACTGGACCAAGGAGGAGCTGCTGAATGAGTTCAGAGAAGGTGAGTAGCTGGGCAGAGCTATCTGCTATCTTGTGGCTTTAAATGTTAATGTCCTTGTATTGTCGTATGTAGTTTATCGGAGTGGGATTTGACATCAAAATGATAAAACTTGGGTGTGTATCCTGAACCTTAGCCTCACTACAGCTTCTGTCATTGTAGACATGGGCGGGGAATTAGGTCTCCCACTTTCACCAGTATAAAGGCAGTTCAGGAGTGAGGAATTTTTATGCCTTTCAACCTCAGAGGACAAGAATTGCAGGCAACTTATTCTGGAGTAGAATTATTTTCCAGTATGGCTTTTTCCCGGCGGTCTTCAAAATAGACCCCCTATTTACCCACCCACATTACCTTTAAAATGTGGATAATATTTGTATCTTTTCTCCATCATAAAGGAATTGGCAGTTGTAGGCTGACGTTCCACATGCATTCATGTGTCACTTGCTCAGTGAACCTCCTGATGGGTCTAAATTCTTATACTTGCTAGTCAGCTTCTGATTTTCATGCCTGAAGCTTAGAATACTAGTGTACTGAGAACTAAGATTGCTGGCAAATTCTTATCTTTTCTGTCATTAGTCTGCATAATGCAGCTAGCTAAGATTTTATTATCTGTGGAGGAGTTTCAACTATATAAAGAAGCTATATAAAACACAGTACTAAATGCTTGCAAAGTAACTGACTTGCTTGTTTTCCATATGAATTAAGAGTGGTTTGCAACAGGTTATCCAAGAGAAGGATAACATGATTTATAATTTCTCTCTGGCAGGATTTGAAATTCTGGAGGAGCTGCCAACACCTAAGTTCTGCTTTGGAGGGAGAATTGGAAACAGTGTAACAGCCTTGGTTTTCCAAAGGAAAAAATAGCCATCCATCTTGGACAAATTAGATTAGCTGAGAAAAGAAACGTCTGCACTTCAAAGTAAACCTGATGCAAAGGAGGGGGGGGGGCGAACCCTCCAGCATCTGTGTAAATAATTGCTCGCTGAGTACACAGTAAAACACAGTGCATGTGCTGAACTGCAATGGGCCTCCATAAAATTCAGGGAAAGTTATATAGAACTGAAATGTTTCTAGGGTAAAATCTGCCCTTGTGCTCTTTCTTTTTGTTATAGTTTCATTTATTCCATTGAATTGTGTGGGTGTAAGTGAGGAAAAATGTGGTACTCTAATTTTTCAGAGACTAACAACTATTTGCATTTGAAGTGTACATTTTTTTCCTATTTAATTTTTATTTTGGTTTCTAGTCAACAGTTTAAAATAAATTTAAGTAGTAATTAAATCATACAAAGAGAGAAGTCTTATTTCTGTGTAGTTTGGCATCATAATGAACATGCTTTTTAAAGATCTAAACACTGGGCAATTTTAAAAAAAATTTAAAGGAAAAATACATGTTACAGTGTAATCCAAAATCAACCTTTAGTTAAATAAGGAGGAAAATGAGTGTAATGATTGTAGCACTCACAAGACATTATTATGTAGAGCTTTATGGTGGGATTTTCATAAGTACTCAGAGTTGGCCTCCTTCTACCAAAGTCCATTGACTTAAGTGAGAGCAGAGCTAAGCTAACATTGAGGGCTTTTAAAAATCTCTCCCTAAATGTCTAATGTATGTTCACTAATACTGATCAGTATCAGCAATGCAATTAAATATTTAAAGATGCCGTTTGGTATTATTACGGCATCTCAATACAGGCTGTCCTCGCTATAAATCTAAGATACATTCCAAAAGACTTGGACTTATAGTGAAACAACTTAAAGCAGGGATTTTTTTTCTATGGCTGACTTCCATTTGCACTTAAGGGCAGGGAAGGAGAGGACTTATAACATCAGTTCCTATAAGCATCAATGACTTTAGTGCGGAATGGATGTATAACGGGATGACTTATAGTGGGGATGCCCTGTAACGGATATTCTTACCTAGTTCGGTATTAATTTAGTTGCATGCTAATGTGTTATGAAGGGCCAGTAATGAACATCTCCTTCCCCCATGAGTTTTGTATGACATTTTGGTTTCATAATACCCAAAAGAGACCACAAAACCACACACCTGCAGCCTAATAACCCATGACTAATTATATTTATTTTCAAATTATATTTTTAGCTCACATTCATTTCTTTGTTGATTATTTTCTATTTGTGGAATAATGATATAGCTGCCCGGAGAGGGAGGAAAGAAATATTTCTCTTTTTTTATGACTTTCCTTGTACACATTTTTAATAGCAGTAAACATGACATTTTAGGCATCCAACAACTCCTATTAGGCAATCTGTTCTCATAGAAGAAGAATGTTGTGTTTGCTCATCAGGGAAATGCTTTCTCTGGTTCTCAGTCTGAGCAATTGGATACAGGGAATACTAGAGGAGAAGGGAATCCTCTATTCCTCTCTGTAGTTCTAGTGCTCCACTTGTACAAGAAATGAGGACCTGAAGAGCTATACAATAGCAAATCCTCCATCTTTAACCTACCTCCAGGTAGCATTCCTAAATTCTGCACCTTCTTGCATAGTGGAACTGTGCTCGTTCCGCTGAAAAATAACCCAACAGAAGCAGAGAGAAGATTTTCACCCCAAACAAATAGATTGCTTTGTATGTTTAAACAGCCCAGTAGCCTTACCTGTGTTCAAAGTTAAAAAGAGAGTTAGCTGTATTGATGTGGCCATTTGAATAGCCAGTATGATAGCATTTATTACATCCTATCTAAAGTTTTCCAGCAGCAGACAGGACTACTAGTGCATGTAAGAGTTATCCATCACCAGTTCATACATTGCATAAATTGATGAGATGATAATCTTTGGAGAGATGGTCCTACGCCTTAAAATGTAGATCTTGATTTTTGTAAAAAATTTGGAATCTGGTTGATCAAAATAAAGGCAGATTTTAACTGACACACATGCCACTAGGGGGTGTATTGAATATAAGGCTTCTCTTTTATTCCCATCTGTAATCTTTGTTAATCTAGGAATGATGCAGGATTTAACGAATGCATCAAAAGAAATCAACTATGATTGCAAATTACAGGAAGTTCTTTTAATCAACTAATAGGAACTTAGCCATAATTTTTCAGTCCATAAGCCTTCATTGGTTTAGGCCTGTTATTGCTTTGTTTTGTTTTTTAAATGATTGATTTCATTTTTAAATATTAGATTGTGTTATTGAGATTATTTTTATCTACGGAGAGTATACAAAATATGAATTCTCTCCATCTATTCAAATCTGGACTTGAATTCTTACAAATAAATGTGCATCAGGCAAAATTGGTGATAGAACTGAAATTGGATCACTCTGACATTTTATTTTTTTAGTGTAGCTTTTAATAGTAAAGGTTATAACTTCTCACTTTAACATTGATTTGAAGATTTTCCATTGCCCCTTTAGTCCACTCTGTTAGAAAGTTTCTTCTAGCTGGGTTCTATAGTAAGAAAATGGCCTAAAACGTAAGTTCACATATCACAGACCTAGTGTGAAGCCTGAGGCTTAGGTAAAAGTGGTCAGACTTCGCTAATATAAAGCAAAACTGAGCTGTGAGCAAAGGCAGACCTTGCTCATAGATTCTGGTAGAAACAGGGTTTATACTGCAAAAACGCATATCTAAGAGGTACTAGACGCAAGTTGCAAACATATTCCAGAGGAATGGTAACAGAACACCTCGTTGATACTAACACATTCCTCATAGATAACAGGAACATACTGACCCAGGTTCAGGATAACAGACTGATGAATAGCAATGTTTTGCTGGAACCATCTTGTAAAAGTTGATTGTGGTATGTCAGAGGATGGCAACCTAATATGTCAGGAGTGCTGTGTAACTTTTTTGTTCCTGTGTATATCTCCTGGGGGGGGGGGGGGGGGGTTTTGCC